TCATATAAAACTATAGTAATTGTTTAGGAACAGAAGTCAGTACCAGTGACTTGTATGTGTATCTATTGCATATATTAATATATATTTTTTTTTTATAAAAGTTCCTCTGTTGCCCCGCAAGTTCTTTTTAAACTTACTGAAATGGCACTGAAATTAGTGTAGAACTGTCACCACAACTCAAAACAGAGAGGGTTTAGGGTAACAAATTCCTGAGGTTATGTTGGTACAGTGACACAGTAGACTAATGACTGCACTTTTAACAGGTATGCAAAAATTACTGTACATGTATAATGAAAGGAAAACAAAGGATATATTACTTTACAAAATAAAAGCATTCAATTTTAAAAACACCTCCAGTGTTAATTATATCTTGCAAGTTTAAAAACAGAAAAGCATGCTTACATCTGAATCCTCTATAAACACAGCAAATCTAAAATAAGGAAGTGCTTTGAAAGCCAATTTTGGGGCAAAAGATATTTCCAAAGCTTCACGTAGCAAAGGAGCTATTAAAAGCAGACATCTGCATGGTTAAAAATTATTACATGGAGCTTGCACAAGGAAAAAAAAGGCAGAAACACTTTTTGAATGGCCTTCTCCCATTGGCATAGAAAGGTATAGTTTACATTTGTTTTTAAAATGCAGTGATAAAATACATAAAATTACATTAAGGTCAACTGTCAATTCAAATCTGTTAGTGTTATCAAACTTAAAAGTACCAATATAGTTTATCAAATATGGAAACTGAGGTATACCTTGTTGAGGGAGGTTTATGGTTATAATGTAATGCTTGAAGCTTCTTTGCTATGTTCCAAAAAACCTTGATTTGTTGATACATATAACAGCAGCACAATGAACATTCACAAGCTATGTCATATTGGCATTACAATAGTTCTTCTGTGAACGCAAATAGCAAATGCAATAAAAATGAACTGCCCTTCTTTCTGTTATTAAAAATTAACAGTAGTTCATCTGAGGAACGGTGACATCCTCACAATAAACCAGTTATCTGGTGCACTTGGATTTTTAGCCACGCTCATGTTGTTAAACTTGAGAGCCACACTCTGCGATGACTTATTCTCAAACATTCATCTGATACCGACTTAGCTTCCTTCGCTGGAAGAAAACAGTTACCTTCCAGTATCTCAGATAAAGGTTACTGAAGTAGAGCGATCCATGCTACAACCAGTTATCTTCTATATAATTTCTGACTGACTGTGGTACCCGTTGCTTCCATTGCCCACCTGCGCCATTCCATTAGCTACCAGTTCTGTTAAGTGTGTAAGGACAAGATACTGAATTGTTTGTCGTAACCAGTCAAATAAATTCAGCAGATAGCAGCTCTGGAGTAGAGTCCCTTGGTCTGGTTTGTGACCATTATAGCCATCATAGGCTAGATTCTTTGGGAGGAAAGTCAACATTTGTTACCATGGTGACTACTGTTACAATGTTGTCTGTAGTAATCGTGCTCATTAGTCTTTGCATTTGAGTGATGCGTTCTGCAACACAACCGGCAGATAGTCTTGCCTCTGCATCATGATCCCAACATTCTTCTATAGTTTCACACAACACAGCCATTCCCTAAGAGAAGGCAAAAAGAATTTTAAATTCAGTAGCACAAACAGAAAAACTGAAAATCAAACAAAAAAAATGTGGTGCTGGAAATGCAGAGAAAATAACTCTCAGTCTGAAAAGACAATTCAGATTAATGCAGATACAGGTACTAACATGTTGCTAGGAAGGGGTCTTGTAGTGTGGTGTTGGCATCCCTACCCCTGGCCCAGAAGGTCTGAGTTGAAGTCACACCCACTCTGGAGTTGATCAAAATATTTATAAACTTCACCAATTATTTGGACTATGGCCTTACTAGTCACAAAAGAACAGATCCTGTTTGATCTCGAAGCAAACTTGGTTAGTAATTGTCTGATGGAAGACTTGCTTGCCACGCCAGGTGCAGTAGGCTTTATGGCTCTTATGGCACACTGATTGTGTCCCTACCTCTGGGCCAGGAGGTCTTGGTTTAAGTCCCACCCGCTTCAGAGTGGTGACATAACATTTCTGAACTAACAGCTGTCTTCTAAATATATAAAAAGAAAATAAGTTGCTGGAATACTTACCAGAAAAGTTCAATACCAATTTACAGAACTTATGCTATTACTTCAACATGCATTGATCTGCTATCAATTGGATTAGGTAAGGGCATCACATGGCACAGCACAATTACAAGCAACTGAGGGGCAAGGAAAAGAGTAACAAAGTCTATCTTAAGTGGACAGACAGGTGTGCAATGAGGAAATATTGAAGTTTAGGGATCAAATTAAAGGGTTGTCAGGAGACAATCCTGAAAATCAACCCACTGATCACAAACTCATATCTGCACATTTGGTTCCTTAGGGAACTAAGAATTTGAAACAAGTAGAAAGAAAGCCAGGTGTAACCAGTAATTTGACTGAGATGGGAGTGGAGCTAAAGCAGATCAAATCAGGATTATGACATAGATGTGAGTACGATATAGTTGAGATCACAGCTAGGAAAGAGTGGGGCACAACCCAGAGTGTAACTGGACCAAGTTTTTTTTAAAAAATGATTTCAGCAAGAAGTAGAGGTTAATTACAGCCAAAATATTTAAAATTAGATGCAAGGCTGGACCTAAAAGAAATGCAAATTTCAGCAAGAATGGGGCCCTGGCAGGAAGTGGAACAGACCCAAGGCTGGATACAGATCTCTCATTTTTAATGTTAGAATATGTTCCAGCTGGACCAAGGCAGAGCCCTTCTAAGCAAATAGTAAACTGCCTAATATTTTAAAAGCTGAAGATTTTCAATATGCCAAATATTGTTTATATTTTGAGTCACAGAATAGTCAAAAAGAATTGGAAGGCAGACTTACATGAATCACTGATCAGAAGACCACAGCCACAGTGTGATAAAATAAATGTTGGTATACAATTCTGCTATCATAAAGTACCAACATTAAAGGAAAACACAAAGATTGTAATTTGGAAATAATCTTAATACCACAATCGGTTATCTAGATATACAGATAACCAAGTACCGGCATGTTCTCCCACGTAACAGAATATTTTATTGGTAAATGAACTTGTGTAACTTTAAAAACAGAAATCTGTTTTCAAGTAAATAAAGATTTTATTGTTTGGTGACAGAACTGTGCAGGATTGGATCAGAGGTTAATTAGCATTCAGGTTTTAGGTTAGAAAATAGGATAAAATGTCAGCTGTTTTTATCAGTTTTTAAGAAAAGTGTGAGGACTTGAGTGGGCACACTAAAGACCAAAACTGGTCTTGAGGTTCAAACGATTTATAAACAAATACACTTACTGGATGCTTCTGCCAATGTTCTCTAAAAACAGGTCTCATCTTCTTATGCACAACCACTTCTTGCATATCTTCGAGGGATGGATGCTGTCCAACTTCCTCTTCAAATGGTAACATGTATTCATCCACTGGACCTAAAATGTTAAATAGATGCAAGAACCTATTAATTGTTAATTTCTAAGTGCTGACAAAGTAGTAGCAGAAACTGTCCTTGAAATTTACTTTGGTTTAACACTGATAAATAGTAAAACAAAAACTTGGAATAATTTAGCATTCAGGATCATTAACATTTCAAGAAATCCAACAGCTAGAATTAACAAACTATGCCTCAAGATTGTATCTTTTAAAAAAGACACTTCATTATGTATATGATATTAAACAACGTAAGCACTATTAGTTCTCTTTTTACTGCCTATATCACACCCTCCCCACACTGAAGAGTTTCCTTATTTCACGAAACCTTGAAGGTAAATTTATGTTCCTTAAAACTAGCCAAAAGACCACACTCAGAAATATAATTCTTAATATTACAACTATTTGTTAAAGGTAAGTGGCACACATTCACCTACCCTACACAGCTTCTTAAGCTAACTTTGCTGACTGCTTTCTGCGTCAAGATTCCATGAGGACCACTGTAGAAATCTTCCACTAATGCTAAACTATAACAAACTATAACACAATCTTTCTGATAGTATTGCCTCAATATCAAAACTTAGAGCCACTAATTCACTTTCTACAAACTGACCAATGAAGTTACTATTTACTTTGGTTGAAATGGAGGCCTAACTGAATATCGTCTCCCAATCCAGTGAAAAGCAGTCTTCAGAAGGAAAGCTGCAAGTCCCTCCACCTGTTCCAAAATTATACTGCCTAGCTCTGTCAGCAAATAAACAAGAATAAATTAAACAAAGTAATTTTCTGTGAAAAGTTCCATCATTTGGGATGATTCAAACAGAACTACAAATTAAATGATCTACCTCCAATGCAACTCTTGTTTTTATATAATTCATATTCATTTTTATGTATAAAATTTATAATTTTTAAAATTTATAACAGAGCTTGATAATTGTCTAGAGTTTCCAGACTTGCTAGCTCTGATGTCTTAAGCCAACACGGTATAAAGTTTTACAATATCATTATTTTGTAAGCTGGATTCAAAAGTAGATATAACTGCGTTTATGATTTCAGCTTATGAAGCTGGCATTTTTAAATTAAAGTCATGTTGTCGCAGGCTTGGTGGGCCAAACGGCCTGTTCCGGTGCTGTATTTTCTTTGTTCTTTGACTAATAAAGGCAAGTGTCCTGTATGCCTTCTTAACTACTCTATTAACCTGTCCTGCTGCCTTCAGGGATTTGTGAATAAGAACCCCAATATACCTCTGTTCCTCTGAAGTTCCTAGAGTCCTGCCATTCAGCGAGTATTCCCTTGTCTTGTTTCTTCTTCCAAAGTACATCAGTTCATACTATCAGAGTTAAATTCCATATGCCACTGATCTGCCCAATGTGTTCACATCTTCTTGTAACCCAAGACATTCTTCCTCATTATTAACCACCCGACACATGGCAAGATCTCTGTATATCAATACTTCCTTCTTGTATTAGACCTTCCAAAATGCATCACCTCACATTTGTCTGGATTGATTTCATCTGCCATTTCTCCGCCCATATCTTTAGCCTCTGACAATCCTCCTCACTATCCGCAGCTCCCCCAGTCTGTGTGTCAGCCACAAAGTTACTAAATCGGACTACCTATATTCAAAACCTTAGATACGTATATTCTCCTCCAGTCATTTATTTGTATTACAAACAACAGGGGTTCCAGCACTAATCCCTGCAGAATACCATTGGTCACAGATCTCCGGTCAGAAAAACATGCTTCCACTGCTACCCTCTATTTTCTATGACCAAGCCAGCTCTGTATCCATCTTACCAGCAATCTGCAGTGAGCATGTGACTTCTTATGTATCAGCCTGCCAAGAGAAAGGCCTGCGAAAGTCCATGTAGGCAATATGGTCCCTGCTCTCAACAAACACCTTTGTCACTTCCTCAAAAAACTGTTTCAGAGACACCATCTCCCTTGCACAAAGTTGTGCTACCTATTGCTTGTAAGTCCATATTTTTCCAAGTATGAATAAATCCTGTCCTTAACAATCTTCTCCAATAATTTGCCTACCACTGATGCAAGGCTAACCGGCCTGCAATTTCCCAGATTATCCCTGTTGCCCTCCTTAAACAAAAGGCAGAAGACTGAATCTTCTCCAGTCCTCTGGGACCTCTCCTGTGACTAAAGAGTCAGAGTTATGCACCACAGAAACAGATCCTTCAGTCTAACTTGTTGACGCCGACCAGACATCCCAATCTAACTTAGTCCTATTTGCCAGCATTTAGGCCATAGCCCTATAAATACTGCCTATTCACAAACCCATCCACACCCAGCCTTTTAAAATGTTGCATCTGTACCCACCTCAACCAGTTCCTTTAGCAGCTAGTTCCATACATGTACCACCTTCTACATGGAAATGTTATCCCTCGTTTCCTTTTTATGTCTTTCCCCTCTCACCTTGTATCTAGTTTTGGACACCCCACAACCTAGGAAAAAGAGCTTGACTAGGAAAAAGATCCATGACCCTTATGATTTTATAAGCCTTTATAAAAGGTTACCCCTCAGCCTCCAACACTCCAGGGGTAAAAAAGCCCCAGCCTAGTCAGAGATAACAAGTTGTAGAGCTGAATGAACACAGCAGGCCAAGCAGCATCAGAGGAGCAGGAAAGCTGACGTTTCTTCAGAAATTTC